GGAGGAGAAGAGGGAGTCTTCATCATGTCTCATTTCAGCCTCCCAGTGCCCTCTGGCGGTGCTCAGAGCAGGCGGTACCCAACCAACTCCTCATTTCTTCCCGAGCTAGTCTCTCCATTAATAGCTTAGTGCCGCTCCAACTCCATTGTTATTCCTGCCTGGCTGCATCCTGCAGTAAGGATGATGCATGTTTATCAGACCAGAAATATTGTGCAAATCTGCCTCGTGAGAATGAACGCTGAAAAGAACGCGTCCTCCGACTCCAGATGTCATCTTCTTGTGTGCTATAACTTTGCCTTGAACAATCTCTTTGACCTTTTCTCTGCAGCTCTCTAAAAGCTTCGGTCATTTAGGCCAAAGGTAAATAGTGTGCTTTTACTTGTTACACTCTTAGGCCAGACCAGATTTTTCTAGATCTTGTGAAGTTGGAGCCTTTGAAAGCAACTGTGGGTATGGATTCATTTGATAGTTTAAAAGCTGACTTGCAAAATCCAGCACACAGATCTATCAGTCCTCTGCACATCCTGTAGTTTGTGACATGATGCTTTATGCTGAAATTGATTACTGGCATGTCATGCACGCGTACGCTCACACGCAAAAACACTTTGAACTTGTAGAGTCAGCTTTGTTTAAAACCTCAAAGGAATTGGATAAGTAATTGTCATTGAATCTGCATAATAAGGACACTATGTCATCTGAATTCAGATGGCCAGCTCGCCCTAATGATCTGTTACTTTTTCTGTTACTCATGAGCCAATCAACACATTAGTATCACATTTCTATTTTCACTGTCTGTCATTAAAAACACATTTTCCTCTCACTTTCCTCTGTGAATGGAGCTGTTTCTCTTAAATAAATCAAATAATTGGAATTGCATTGTTTTATCAAGATTTTTTTTTTTTTTTTAACAAAATTCGCCCAATACAACGTGTAACTAAATTCTGATGTCTTGCCTGTTTTGTGTTTTATATTCATAAATTAGAATTTATTATTACACGCCTCTCAAAAGCTGTTTATGTTTTCCTGCAGACAGGAATAGATGAGTCTTGTGTTTGAAATCTAGAGAAACAATAAAAAACTCTTGTTGAATGGATATTGAAAGATTTCAGTCACAACTTGAAGCCGTTAAGGAGGTTTATTTTGAGGAAAACTGTAATTTTGATTGATGGTTTTATTAGAGGGTTTTTTTTTTGCTGCTTAAGCTCTGATGTGAAGAAGACTATATTGTCAGCTGTGACAGATGATGTGGATAGCGTTGTATAAGAGCGCTCTCTACAGGCAGTGTGAGAAGTTGCAACATACAGCCTTTCTATTTCCTGATGCCGAGGCTTTGCTGAGTGTCACCAAATTGCGGAAATAACGAAAAAAAATTTATTTTATTTTATTTACACAGAAATGTACAACAATTTTGGCAATCTCTACAAAGATTCTATTTTCCCAACATGAAATAGTATCAGAACAGGCTGAATTCCAACATATAGAAGATAGATAATGAACAGGAAGTACAAACAACAACAAATAAATAAATAAAATCAAACCCCAAACAGAATCAAAGCAAACAAACAA